TTTTGTTATTTTTTGTTCTTTCTTTTTCTTCCTCTCTTTTGACCTTTTTTTTATTTTCTTTCGCTAATCTTTTTTCTATCTGCCTCTACTCTCTCTCTCTCTCTCTCTCTCTCTCTCTCTCTCTCTCTCTTCTCTCTCTCTCTCTTCTCTCTCTTCTCTCTCTTCTCTCTCTCTCTTGCTCTTTTTTTCTTCCTATCTTTTGATCTTTTATATTTTTCTTTCGCTGTTCCTCTCTCTCTCTCTCTCTCTCTCTCTCTCTCTCTCTCTCTCTCTCTCTCTCTCTCTCTCTCTCTCTCTCTCTCTCTCTCTCTCTCTCTCTCTCTCTCTCTCTCTCTTCTCTCTCTCTCTCTCCTCTCTCTCTCTCTCTCTCTCTCTCTCTCTCTCTTTCTCCTCTCTCTCTCTTCTCTCTCTCTCTCTCTCTCTCTCTCTCTCTCTCTCTCTCTCTCTCTCTCCTCTCTCTTTCTTTTTTTTTTTCTCTCTTTTGATTTTTATATTTTTCTTTTTTCTCGCTGTTCCTTTCTTTCTCTCTCTCTCTCTCTCTCTCTCTTCTCTCTCTCTCTCTCTCTCTCTCTCTCTCCTCTCTCTCGTGTAGACTCAAACCACCTGTCCCCGTGTTACAGTTGGGGGAAACGTGTGTGTTTAACCTCACGGAGTACTTAGCTTTACGCCCGTCACACACTTCAAGCCTGCCTGTGTTTACTTTCCTGCTGATGCAATGCTGCAGTCTCTTCGTGTTTTATATTTTTCGAAAAGTGGAATTCCTCTCACTTTCTGAGCCTCGATTTTTTTTATATGTTCTTTTTACTGTTATTTGCCTTCTTTTTCGGGTTTTGGTGTTTGGTTTCTTTTCTGGGGAGCGAGGGGAAGGATGTGGAAGGGGAGGGGAGCCCGTCTATTTTTTCTAGAACTTGTCTATTTCATCAATCTATAACATCTTGCAAGGGTATCCTTTTTCCTACTCTTTCTTATATCCAAAGCCGTTTAGATTTGGTAAACTACATGGAAAGACAGCATTCCTTGTCTATTCAGCTACCTATCTGCACATATCAATCAGCCTGTCTGCCTCCAAGGAAGAGAATAAACTAGTCATCTATACATACTGTCCATCTATTTATAGTATTATATATCCGCCTTTCCTTTCCAATCATCAGGCAACTGAAGCAGAACGTATTTGCATCATTACAGTCTGGTTAACTAAAGAAAGGGAGGCGAGGTAGATAATTTTAGAACCAGAGATTGAAAAATTGTTCGTTTCTTTTTTTGTTCCTTTGTTGGGGTTTCTTTACATAATACTGGTTTTGAGTCATAGTAGCTTTATTGAATAAAGGTAGAGGATGGATCAATTTAGAACCAGAGAAGGGAAAATAGTTTATTTCCTTTTTATTTGTTTATTTAACTAAAGAGAGTAGAATGTGTTAAATCTTCAAACCAGAGGAAGAAGTATTAAATGCTGATGGTTTGACGTTTTCAACTGAAATTTCAGTTTTATAATACGCAACATATGAATCACTATCCTAATTATAAAAAATAGGATGCTTGAATAATAATATTTACCACAATACGATTTAGTTATTTTCTATAATTGATTTTAATAATGACAATAATAATTACGAATATCATGTAGTATCTTTCTTTTTAATTGGGTCTTCAAAAATACCTTCGTCCTTTGCATCAACATTTTAGAATCCTTGAAAGAGAAAAGAAACACGCCAAGACGCCCAGCCATGTCTTTACCAAATACATTTCCCTTTGAGGTTGACCAAAGCAAACGTCCCACGCATCCACCATCAACTGGGGATCAATCAATCAAATCAAATGGGGATAATCAAATTTAAAAAATCAAATCAAATAAAAATTTTAAAAATGGGAAAAATAGACCTTTATGCATAAAACGTCGATGTAGTAATAAAAAGTAAATCGTTATAAAAAGTAAATAAAACGACACTTGCTTTTGTATTGTATCTGCGATGTTCATTAACTATTTGTTGTTGTTTTATAGCTATTGTTTAAGTGAATCGAAGGGAAGAAAATGAACGTATCTTAAAAGATATGATAAGAATGAGCATGATGATAATCATAATCATCATTATTTTCATTATCATCATAGTTATCATTATCAATCATCATCATTATTATTACTATCACCATTATCAGTGATCACTATTATTATTACCATCATCAGTATCAGTGATCACTATTATTATTACTATCATCATTATCAGTGATCACTATTATTATTACTATCATCATTATCAGTGATCACTATTATTATTACTATCATATCATCTATTGATCACACATCATTATATGAGTCTCATTATTATCAATCATATCTATCATTACATTATATCAACATTATCAGTATCTTATTATTATTACTATCATCATTAATCAGTGATCACTATTATTATTACTTAATCATCATTATCAGTGATCATTAAATTATATATACTATCATCATTATCATTCATAATACCAGATAAAGGCAAATACCGTACCAACCACCGCTTTCCAAACTATCCGCTCCGTGTCAACCTCAAGCAAAAAAAGGGGTCCAGCAACGAAAAGACACAGACCTATCAATCCATCAACAGACCTCCTCCCTCCTTCCCTCCCTCCCTCTTTCCCTCTTTCCCCTCCCTCCTCTCTCCTCCTTTTTCCCCCTCCCTCCTCTTTTTTCCCCTTTTTCCTCCTCTTTCCCCCTCTTTCCCTCCCTCCCTCCTCCCTCTCTCCCTCCTTTTCCCCCCCTCTTCCCTCTTTCCCTCTTTCCTCCCTCCCTCCCTCCCTCTCTCCCTCCCTTTTTCCCCCCCCTCCTCCCTCTTTCCCCTTTTTCTTTTTCCCTCCCTCCCTCTCTCTCCTCCCTTTTTTCCCTACCTCCCTCCCTCCTTTTCCTCTTTCCCTCTTTCCCTCCCTCCCTCTCTCCCTCTCTCCCTCCTTTTTTCCCCCCCCTCCCTCCTCTTTCCCCTCTTTCCCTCCTCCCCCTCCCTCCCTTACCTTTTTTTTCTTCATTTCTCTTTTCCCTCCTATCCCCCGCCTCCCTCCCTCTTTCCCTCCCTCCCTCCCTCTCCTCTCCTCCCTCTCTCTTTCCTCCTCCTCTTTCCTCCCTCCTCGTCCCTCCTCCCTTCTTTCCCTCCCCTCCTTCTTTCCCTTCCCTCCTCTTTTCCCTTTCCCTCCTCTCCTCCTCTTTCCCTCCCTCCCTCTTTTCCTTTTTTCTTTTCCCTTTCCCCCTCCCTCCCTCCTCTTTCCCTCTTCCTCTTCCTCCTCCCTCTTTCCTCCCTCCTCTTTCCCCCTCTTTTCCCCCCCTCCCTCTGTCCCCTCCCTCCTCTTCTCCCTCCCCCCTCTTTCCTCCTCTTTTCCCCCTCCCTCCCCTTTCCTCCCTCCCTCCTTCTTTCCTCCCTCCTCCCTCTCCCTCTTCCCTCCTCCTCTCTTTCCCTTCCCATCTTTTCCTCTCCCTTTTTCCCTCCCTCCCTCTTTCCCTCCTCTTTCCCTCCCCCTCCCTCTTTCCCTCCCTCCTCTTTCCTCCTCCTCTCTCTTCCTCCCTCCTCCCTCTCCTCCCTCCTCCCTCCCTCTCTTTTCCCTCCCTCTCTTTCCTCCTCTCCCCTCCCTCCTCTTCCCTCCCTCTCCTTCTCCTCCCTCCTCCCTCCCTCCCTCTCTCCCTCCCTCCCTCCCTCCCTCCCTCCCTCCCTCCCTCCCTCTCTCTCTCTCCTTCCCTCCCTCCTCTCTCCTCCTCTCCCCTCCTCCCTCCCTCTTCCCTCCTCCCCTTTCCCTCCTCCTCTTTCCTCCCTCTTCCCCTCCTCCTTTCTTTCCTCCTCTCCTCTCCCTCCCTCCCTCTTTTCCCTCCCTCTCCCCCCTCCCTCCCTTCCTTCCTCCCCCTCCTCCCTCCCTCTTTCCCTCCCTCCTCCCTCCCTCCTCCCTCCTCTTTCCCTCCTCCTCCCCTCCTCCCTCTTTCCCCTCCCTCCCTCCTCCTCCCTCCTTCCCTCCCTCCTCCCTCCCCTCCTCTCTCCTCCCTCCATCCCTCCCTCCCTCCCATCCTCTTCCCTCCCTCCCTCTTTCCCTCCTCCTCCTCCTCCCTCCCTCCCTCCCCTTTCCCTCCCTCCCTCCCTCTCCCTCCCCCTCTTTTCCCTCCCTCCTCTTTCCCTTCCCCCTCCCTCCCTCCCTCCTCCTCCCTCCTCTCTCCCTCCCTCCCTCCCTCTCCCTTCCCCTCCTCCCTTTCCTCCCTCCTCTTTCCCTCCCTCCTCCTCTCTTCCTTCCCTCCCTCTCTCCTCCCTCTTTCCCTCCCTCCCTCTTTCCCTCCCTCCCTCTTTTCCTCCTTCCCTCCCTCCCTCCCTCTTTCCCTCCTCCCTCTTTCCTCCCTCCCTCTTTCCCTCCCTCCCTCCCTCCCCCCTCTTCCCTCCCTCTCCCTTTCCCTCCCTCCTCTTTCCCTCCCTCCCTCTTCCCTCCCCCTCCCCCTCCTCTTTCCTCCCTCCCCCCCTCCCTCTTTCCCTCCCTCCCTCCCTCCTCCCCCTCCCTCCCTTCCCTCCCTCCCTCTCCCTCTTTCCCCCTCCCCTCCCTCCCTCTCCCTCCCTCCCCCTCCCTCCCTCCCTCCCTCTTCCTCCTCCCTCTCCCTCCCTCTTTCCTCCCTCCCTCCCTCTTTCCCTCCCTCCCTCCCTCTCCTCCCTCTTTCCCTCCCTCCCTCCCTCTTTCCCTCCCCTCCCTCTCCCTCTTTCCCTCCCTCCCTCCCTCCTCCCTCCCTCCCTCTTCCCTCCCTCCCTCCTCTTTCCCTCCTCCCTCCCTCTTTCCCTCCCTCCCCCTCCCTCCTCCCTCCTCCCTCCCTCCCTCTTTTCTCTCCCTCCACCACCCAACCAGCCACTCACCCTTTCCGCCCTAACGTCGAAGGCCAAACCCTTCACCTCCTGATTCTCGCCTTCCTTCCCTCTTTCTCGAGGAGTTGCATCACGGGAGCCGAGGCGAGGCCGGGTATATAACGGGGAAATGGGGAGAGCTCTTCAGTCTCACGAAGCGGAGGGATTTCAAGATGATATTCAAGGCGGTAGGTTTGCGTCGTGTTGCTTGATTTGATATTTTGCATTTTCTTATTTAAGTGGGATTATGGTTTTTGATATTAGCTTTCATTGTTATTAGTATTGGTATTAGAATGCAATGCACGCGCCAATACACACAAACACACACACATATATATTTGTGTGTGTGTGTGTTTCCGGAGTCAAAGAGGTTTCACAAGGAGGTAAACGGATTATATATATATATATATATATATATATATATATATATATATATATATATATATATATATATATATATATATGTATGTATGTATGTATGTATATAAATTTATTGATTGATTCATTTATGTATATACATATATATATATATATATATATATATATATATATATATATATATATATATATATATATATATATATATATATATATATATATATTATATAATATATATATATATATATATATATATATATATATAATATATATTTCATATACATAACTATATATATATATATATACATATATATATATATATACATATATATACATATATATATATATATATATATATATATATATATAATTTTCTTATCTTTTGTTTAAGCTGATAAATACAATGGCGTTTCGCATTAAACAATTGCAAACTTGGGAACCAAAGAGAAGAGAGGTAGTAAGCCCTACTTGAAGTTCCGCCACTGGTGTGTGTTTGCGTGTGTGCGTGTGTTTGTGTATGTTTTTGAGTGTGTGTTTGTGTACGACTTTGAGTGTGTGAGTGTGTCTTTGCGTATGTTTCTGAATGGGTGTTTTTGTGTATCTGAATGTGTGTTTGTGTATGTTTGCTTATGTTTCTGAGTTTACGTGTATGCGCGCGTTCGTTTGCATGTGTGCGTGCGTGTTCGTAGGTTGTCTCGTCTTTCAGAGATATGTATTTAGTGTATTTGACAATCAGGGCAGTGTTTTTCTTTTGGGTGTCTGCGAGTGCTTAATCTATAATCACTTAAATAATCGTTCCATTCATAAATCATGTACCATATTTCCCCTCCCTGTAGATCAATAGAGGAGGAAATAAGGGTGAAAAAAATGACAAAAAACTAACATCGTGAATTTTATTTTGCAGTTGTTTGCCCTTCTTGTCCTTGTGGCCCTAGTCGGCGCCAATCCACTTCCCGGTAAATTCCTGTTCGGTGGCGGGTGTGGAAAATGTGGAGGAAAGGGCGGATTCGGACATGGCGGTGGCGGTTACGGTGGCGGAGGATTCGGACACGGTGGCGGAGGATATGGTGGTGGTGGATTCGGACACGGCGGCGGAGGATATGGTGGTGGTGGATTCGGACACGGCGGTGGAGGATTCGGACACGGTGGCGGAGGATATGGCAGCGGTGGATTCGGACACGGCGGAGGAGGATACAGCGGCGGTGGTTTCGGACACGGCGGAGGAGGATACGGCGGCGGTGGATTCGGACACGGCGGTGGCGGTTATGGCGGCGGAGGATTCGGACATGGCGGTTATGGCCGGTAAAGACGAATCTGACAGGTGAATACATTTTCTCTAAACAAAAGATGTTATTTTTTATATCCTTTGTGTTATAACAACAAATAGGACAAGACAATATTCGAGGAAATAACATGAAAACTGTTTAGGTAATAATGATATTGACGGCAATTCAAATTATATATATATATTGCTTTTCACAAAATATGTAAAGCCCCGAGGACAATTATAGAACTCATTTTGAAAAATATTAGAAATGAAATGCTGATAATAGAGACTGAAATGAGATTCATTCTATCAACATATAATCATAAACAGGTGTACGCTATATACATATGTTACGCTAACTTCCTCTGCAAGTAGTTTATTTATTGCATCACTATTTGACGAAAAAAAATCACAATCTTAATCATTATATAACCATTATCACCAATAATATTAGTAATGATTACCCCCATCACAGCCAGCCTCCTAAATCAACATGCATAACTGACAATAAATGTAGCAATGTATACAAGTATAAAAACGTATTGACTTGTGCTCGTAAACTTTCGAACACATTTCGGAACAAAACTTAAGTTGTAGTTCTTAGTCATGTTAGCTTTGTAAATAGATGATTAGGGACTGTGCAGGAAAGTGTATCTTCCGAATTTGTCTGTGAGATTTTTGTACCATGAAGGTAAGAAATTCTCACTTTCCTTCTCAATCTCTCAATCTATCTGTTTATCCATCCATATGCGCGCGCGCGCGTGTATGTGTGTGTACGTATGTGCTGCCAATGGATGGTAACCCCGGCCATTCCTTACACACGGGGAAGTTTAGAAGCAAAATGATACAGACAGCATGTCACAGCAAAGAATATCAACTGTAATAAAATATTCCGTGAAAACATGGCTTCATATCCTATTCTGCATATGAACACCGACGAACGCTTAGCAAATTCACCTTCTGTACTTTTCCTTAAAGCGTTATAACCACCTTTTTGGAATCACAGTTCTAAATGTTTTGCTTATTTCTCAGGTGGCTTTGTTCATATCCTTATACGTTGTAAAGTACAATCATTAGCGGT